GATGGCGGTCTCTGCGTCCATGCCGTGGCTCGGCAGTGGGCAGACCAGCATGGGAGCCAGTGTGGTACGAGTTTATGCACTGCGAACACAGATGCACACATATACGGCCGAACTGGGCAGTGATGGGTGTGCAGTTCTCTGTGATAGCCAGTAGGGGGAAACTAAGCTCTGTTTTGAAGCCTATAGACCTCAAAGAACTCTGCAGTCTTTCCGTTCATAACATGCATTAGATGCACAAGTAAAGCTTCCGCTTTATTAACGCAAATTTGACCATGAGACAAACTTCTGATTTAGAATTTAAAAGGCACTTGACTATTTGGATTTTATTCTGCAGCCTGTGGCCCCCTGCACATTTTCAGGAGAGGTTTGCATTTTTAACTCTTATCAATGTCGAGCCAAACTGAGCCGACTAAACAGCTGGCCTGCTGAGTCTATGGAGGCTGATACAGAGAGGGTGTGTGTGTGTGTGTGTGTGTGTGTGTGTGTGTGTGTGTGTGTGTGTGTGTGTGTGTGTGTATGGCAGAGATGGACGTACATAAACAGATAGCAGCAGCTCTCACAGCCGGTCACCCAAGGTACAGATATGCGTCACTCTTACACGCAGCCAGGGTTCTCCATGTCCCAGCCATGTTGATAAATGTCAGTAGTAGGACAGAGTGTGTCATACAGGTTCAGTGGATCACCGAAGAGGCTTTCGTAAGTGTACGGTGGGGTCTGGTTAGTTAGGATACAAGCCATTCAATGGCCTTTGAGTCTGTAGCATTGTATTGTTCTGCAGTAAAGAACCTCCTGATTAATATACCTAAGTGTAATAACGAATTAGTGTTCAAAATGTGGTTGGGATTAGTAAATCATAACAGGAATATTGATTTAAGTAATCAAGTAATTAAGTAAGTTCACGCTGGCATGAACGCTGTGAACAGGCTCTCCATTTGTGTGGAATGTGTGGGAGGTATCGTAAAAATCAGTCGAAGTTTAATTGATGTTGAGTTTAATTTAGCATATTAATATTCAGATGTTTGTGTTCCTGTAGTTTTGTTTTGCGCCAGTGAGCAGTGAAGTGTACTTGCTTTTCTTTTAAAACAAGACAACCCTCTGGCTTATTGGCATTTTAATTTACCAAAATCATCAGTCAGCATTTATGAACAAACTGAACAGAACAATCATGAAAGTTTTTTTTCAACCTAAAAAACTCAAATTTATCGTCTGGGTTATGTAACATCATGCATATAATTTTATCTTTTGATTGTTGTTTTTTCAGATTATGAAGAGGAATCTTAACAATGTGAAGAGAATGACATCCCATCCCATATATCAGTATTGTAAGTGTTTACACAACGGCGCCTGTGCTCAGGAGAACGATCAGCAAGTATACGTTTTCATTTTGATTAACTTCTCACTTCCCATACTTTTTTATCTCTCTTCCCCTTCTGTCTGCCTCCATCTCGCTCCCTGTCTTTGTCACTCTCGTGTGTGTGTGTGTGTGTGTGTGTGTGTGTGTGTGTGTGTGTGTGTGCGCGTGCGCGTGCGCGTGTGTGTGCGCGTCAGACATGACAGGGGCTCAGGACGGCAGTGTGAGAATGTTTGAATGGAACAGACCTCAACAGCTCATTTGCTTCAGACAAGCAGGCAATGCTAGAGTCACCCGGCTCTATTTCAACTCCCAGGGCAATAAGGTACACACACACACATGCACGCACAGACACACACAGCAACGTCTGTGTTTTGTCTATTCGGTGTGATTGTTCTGATTGCTCTGTGCTCTTCCTACAGTGTGGAGTTGCTGACGGAGAGGGTTTCCTCAGTCTCTGGCAGGTCAACCAGACATCATCCAACCCCAAACCCTACCTGGTGAGGTCTCCTCTCACCTCCCTCACCTCCTTCATCACCACCCCAGCACACACACACACGTCTTTAGACAAAACAAAGAACTATGAATCATTAAAATTGATAATGTACTGTTTGTTGTCCTACAGAGTTGGCAGTGCCACACTAAGACCTGCGGTGATTTTGCCTTCATCACCTCCTCCAGCCTCATCGCCACAGCCGGACAGTCCAATGATAACAGGTCAGCATCTGCACAGAAGAGCACCACTACTAAACCAACACCAATCTTTCTCTGTTGGTATCCACTCGCTAATGTTATCCTTTATCATTTACTTTATCTTCAGAAATGTTTGCCTGTGGGACACTCTGGTTTCACCAAGCAATACCATGGTCCACGGTAAGAAATCCCAAACGCGTCCAACGAGCCGAGTTTCATGATTTGTGATCTAATTCCTCATTTCTTCCCACCCACCCCTCCAGCGTTCCCCTGCCACGAGAACGGGGCCACTGTGCTGCAGTATGCTTCCAAACAGCAGCTGCTCATCACCGGAGGCAGAAAGGGCTTTGTGTGCGTGTTTGACATCCGCCAGAGGCAGCTGCTCCACACTTTCCAGGCCCATGACTCAGCCATCAAGGCCCTCGCACTGGATGCCTTCGAGGACTTCTTCGTCACCGGCTCTGCAGAGGGCAACATGAAGGTGACGCGTTGCTCCGTCACTCACTCGCTCACTGACCTGCCATAACACATTGGCAGTCATACTCTTATTCTAGGTTTAGGCCTACTTGATACAATCTGAAAATCCTCTCGTACCTGCTTTCAATCCATCATATTCATTTCTAGATGAATGCAGACCGATTGTGCTTTAACAAAATTAAATGTTGCATCAGACGTGCGATTTAAAAAAAGTGTCTGATACGCTTGCCGTCTACACACGGGGTTAGTCTTCCCCTGGCCTCCTAATGCTCATTGAATTTAGCACTTGACAATTGCAGTGGCTTTGCATAATAATGAAATGATAAAGAACAGTATGCTGGTTTGAAAAAAGGAAGCTTAACACCTGTTCTATCCTTTCGCTCTGCTTCTTCTGTCTCCAGGTGTGGAAGTTAACCGGCCACGGGCTCATGCACTCTTTTAGCACCGAGCATACCAAGCAGTCCATCTTCCGAAACATCGGTGCCGGTGTCATGCAGGTGGAAACGCGGCCCGGGAACCGCATCTTCACCTGCGGAGCGGACGGCACCCTGAAGATGAGGGTCCTCCCGGACCGCTATAATATCCCCAGCAGCATGGTCGACATCCTGTAACGCCTACTTCCACTTCTGAGGGTCCAAAGAGGAAAGAAACAGAAAGGAAAAAACACAAAAAGCTTACACTTGCTAGGCATTAATAGTATAATTGATGGGGGAAGAGTTAGTCAAAAAGACCACCAGGCTTTTTGGCATCTTTCAGAGTGTGTTCATGGGTTTACTGTTGATGTAAATCATATCCACAACGGGGAAAAAACGGAGCTGCAAACATTTTATTTTTTTCTCCCCCTAAAGGCTGAAGGCAAAAGGTATCATACTTGATTTTAAAGCTATATTTATTGTAATTTTATTGAAGAATCTCTACTCTTAGAGTGCGTCCATAAGGAAGCTATGCATGTCCTGTTCTCGTTCCGCGGTGCAATCACAGGTCTATTGATAGTGCTCTGTAAAAGTGCTCAAGCAAAAATTTTAAAAGTGTGTAACTGTCGTCATTTTGTGCCCACAGCTGAAATCTCTTAGCATCTACTGTAACCAGCACTGTGGTTTGTTATTAAGTCAGTGGTTTCCAGTGTGAATCGAGTTGTGGGAATCTGCATTTTGTTTCAATGGTTTTGCCCCCCCCCCACTCACCCCCCTGACTTTTTGCCCAGCTTTTCTCAGACCTTACGGAGGAGTTGATGGTTCATTGCTCCCCTCACCCCTCACTCCCCCTTTCACTGGCTGCCGTCACTCACTCTGGCCCTCTCCTGGTTTGGGCTTGATCCGGCTCGGTTCGGTCCGTCCCCCCCCCCCCCCCCCGAGTGTGTGTGCGTGTGTGTGTGTGTGTTCACTCTGCTGTGTCTGTCATCTGTACGCCTGCCCTCAAATGCCTGTTTGTGCGGCCGACTCCCCTGCTAGAACATTCCTGTTTGGAAGATGATGTGTTTTACTCCTGTGACT